TACACACACAGTTTGTGTCAATCATGTCACACTGAAATGAATGCAGCACATGTATGTACATGCATCAAGTCCTATTTAAAACCTAATCCCACTAACCTAATAAAACTGTGGAGTACTGACATTGTCATGCAATATCTTTGACTGTAAAGTGAATAATTGTCAAGTGCATTTAAATTTGTTCTTAAAGTAATAAATACAAAGAAATAATAAGAAATGAGAAATAATGCAATAAGAAGCATGCAATGATGTACAGATGTTTTTACCTAGTGCCTTTTTAAAATATTTATTAATTTTGTGTTTGCATTATTAAATATTACATTAAAAATATTGCTTTTTAAATATTATTTCGTTAACTTGTTCCTGAGTTTCCTTTTATGGTCATTCTCCTGTTCTTGTTGAGTTGATTGATTATTCTATGCACCTGTTTTGTTAATTATCCTATGTATATTAGTTCTTGTTTGTTCCTTCATTCCTTGTCCGGTCAACTTTGTTACTAGTTGTTTGATTTTGCTCCGGAGTTGTATTTACCCTGCATTTTCAGTATTAAACTCTATTCAAGTGAAGTTTGAGACTCCTGCGTTCTCCCTTGCCACAACGAACCGTGACAGCCCGCATATTAGAAAAAATCCTCATATGTTCTTCACATAATGAAGAATCAAATAGACTACAATGTAAAGTATATTTTTTATCAACTAAATATACATCCATGAACACAGTTCTAAACAAATGCAACACATTCACAAACACAAATACATAAACCAAATTTTGAAGACAGCTTAGCTGTGTCTAATATGTCCGACGTTTAGACATGTTTGTACACTTAGAGAAATCGGCATGCACAATGACAGCAAAAGACTAATGAGTGCAAAGAGCTTAGACCTGTACCACCTGACTGCACAAACTGATCCCTATTGTCTGAGCCAGAATCAATAAGTTTGCATTTCTGCCAATCAGTGAATGAGTGTGTGTGTGGCGTTGAGCTTTGGATCAATGCAGAGAACAACAGGGGTGTGTTAAACATGTCAAAACTGTTTCAGAAACTCAGAAACAGTGAAAGTGGTCTCAGTACAGCTCCTTATACTATAACACCAAAAGCTGTGATGAACGTAAGACTGAATGCATCTGCCTTACATTAATCCACAAGAGATATTTGATCATCCTGTAAATTTGGATAATTGGCTTATGTGTGTTAGTGTGTCACTCTCCAGAAGGTAAAACCAGACCCCTCATGGAGAATTGATTGGTCATGGAGGCCAAGGCCATAGTGAGGTGATCCACATGACTGCTGGGGCAGACCTGAATCCTTTTAAAAAGAAACACACAAACACACATAGTCCAGCTCAAGAGGGTGTGGAAAAACTGTATCAGAGTTTGGTGATCACGTCACCCCACCCTGCATTATCCAAAAAAATCTACATGAGTGTCTCTAGCTATCTCTTTCTCACATGAAAAAGAAACATACACAGGAAGGGAATTGTAGATTTCAGCAGAAATACCCACCAAATTTATCACTATTTTATCAATACGTTCCTCCTTGTCTTTATTTACTAGGGTTGGTCACATTCCACTGACTTCCATTCGTACAAATGTGGATGCGGGAGACAGGAAACGCAAGCTTATGTGAATTTCACTGGATTCCAAGTTTGGTGAACTCTGCCCTGAGAATTCGAATCATGTGAAGATGTGTGACCAACAGAAGACTGATACGTCATGGCGTGACCACCTCATAGCTGAATTAAAAGAACGCAAACTTTAAATCTTCAGGATTGCAGTAAAGTGGAGTAGACTGCATATTTTTACACTGACAGCGCCATTTACTTCCACATGCTGTCTTGTTTTAGTATCCGATTCACAGAAGGGATTATGAAAATCATACACAATTTTGCAAAACAGCACAAACGTGCCTCAAAAACAGTAAATGCAATTTTGTGGACTGGTTCAGAGCACTGTGGTGTGGAGGATGTGGCAGATTACTATAATCTGGCATACTTTGCTGAAATTGTATAGCATTGATGCACCACTGTGATCCAAACATCTGAATGACACAATGACTCACTGACAAGACTGTCACATGCCGCCACTCACTGGTGGTTTTACTTTCATATTTATCATTATCAATATATCATTTTTGTCAACATTGTTCAACTCTATTGACTATGTGTCTTCATTTATGCCTGATTATGACATTCTTTTTAAGTGCTGCCATGAACAATAGACGTATTGTAACATACGCAAACATCACATTTAAAGAGATGTTCTGTTATTACGAGGTTTGTGCACTGAAATGCCGGGTGCATCATATTTACTGAATTTGTCTCTATAGAGTTTGGCCATGCAAAGCAACTTTAAGTGATTAGTAGCCATTCAAATCGGATACAGAATTCAAATAGTTGGGATTACGATCAGCAATTCCACCCACTCCACCAGATTATAAGGATTTTAACCATGGATGAGCATATTATAAACACACACACATACAAACAGTCACACAGCACAAGAAACAAATTAGCCATGGATGGATAGTCTCAAATTGCATTTTAATGGCTCTAGGCACTTTTTGCTGTCATGTGTGATACGGTGAAACAATGTCAGCCCTGCTAACTTCAGGAACTTGTCAGTGCTGGGAATGAGGTGCTAACAAGAGGAAATATGAGACACACACATACTCGCATACACAAAGGTATCTGGCATTAAGCACAAAGTACTGCTCTCAAAAGGTCCTCAAGACAGTGCCCCTAAGTGGCTAAACCACTTTCATGCACACAATCCATACACACAAAGACAAAAATCAAGTAACTTTAAAAAAAAAATGCATATAAGAAACAGACTTTTCACAGGATCCTTTTGTTTGCATTCTGTTTCATTTGCTGTGATCAAAGTGAGAGTTTCGAGAGTCCCCTGCAATCACAGCTCAAAGACGTATTATCATCCTGCCTTTGCTGTAATTACTATCTTCCTGAACACCAGCTTAGAGGAGCATGTGTGCGCTCTTGTGAAAAAGACAGCAGAGGAGGAGAGGATCTGAGACGTGTGGAACAGATGTGTAGGAACAATGATCTGATGAATTAAATGGTGAAAACTGCAGGTGAAAGAGAAAACTTAATCCTAACTAACCTAATGATTAACATACACACACAGTTTGTGTCAATCATGTCACACTGAAATGAATGCAGCACATGTACATGCCAAAATCAAGTCCTATTTAAAACCTAATCCCACTAACCTAATAAAACTGTGGAGTACTGACATTGTCATGCAATATCTTTGACTGTAAAGTGAATAATTGTCAAGTGCATATTAATTTGTTCTTAAAGTAATAAATACAAAGAAATAATAAGAAATGAGAAATAATGCAATAAGAAGCATGCAATGATGTACAGATGTTTTTACCTAGTGCCTTTTTAAAATATTTATTAATTTTGTGTTTGCATTATTAAATATTACATTAAAAATATTACTTTTTAAATATTATTTCATTAATATTTCATTGTACCTTTAGGGATTCAGCTTGTCACTGGGCAATACACTTAAAGGTACATCTTTGTGTACATCTCAGTGTGTCCAACACAAGCTTTTTCTAAATGCCATTCATTTAATTAATATACACAGACAGGACAACCAGATGTCAGCACATTTAAATGGTCACTGTTGAACATATCTCCTAAAGCCACATGTAAATGTGCATCTCTGCTCTTTCCCAACCCAGTCTCATGGCAAATACGTACCTGGGGGCACATTTTTGCAAGACGCGAAATACGTACCAATAAGTACATATCACTGCAGTTTCCAAAAAAATGAACACTAGAGGCAGTAAAACTCCGACACCTTTTAAATTATTTTCACACGGGGTATGATTTACAGAGTTTCGATTAATAAAGCGTAATTTTCGCACAATTACTTGAACAGTATTATGTTGTGACTTCAAAACATTTTTAAAGGGGTCATATGATGCTTTTTTAAAGATCATTATTTTGTGTATTTGATTAATAAAGCGTAATTTTCGCACAATTACTTGAAGAGTATTATGTTGTGACTTCAAAACATTTTTAATATGCTGGGAGATTTGAAAACTGATGCTTTTGATTGTTAGCACCGCACATATCCAGCTTCATATCAATGGGTTTTCATAAACGATAGGTTTGTTCGGTAGCTCACGGAGTACGGAGATGTACTTGAGAGGTGAGGAGCTCCGGTTCGAATCCCGTGTAACTACGGTTCAACAAAACAGCTAAAATCTGCATATAAAGAAGTTCAAAGGGCACGGTTGCATCAATGAAAGTGTTTTTATATCAGTTTTGCATTTGTTAACACTATCGGGTAGGTTTAGGGTTGGGTTTGGTGTAGGGCATATTTCCAACACGACAGAGCATTAACTTTTAGCGACCTTTGAAACTGCGGCGAAACGTGCAGTAAGGTACGTAAAAACGGTGTTGCAGAAATGTACGCAGAGGTACGTATTTTTATGAGACTGGGTTGCTCTTTCCTGCTATTGTTATTCATCCTCATGCACACAAGGTTTCCTATTTATCTCATTCAGCATCTCTCCTCTTGTTTTATTCATGTGCTCTGTTCACAAACTGAGTTAAATCAAAAAAATATATTCAAACAGCTGCCAAACTCTTCCATGCTTTTAAAATTCAATATTTGACCTATAACATTTCACTACTGTTGTTATTATTGGATATCATTTCAAATTTTGGACACTGTGTTCATTTCCACATATTTCAGATTGCTTTAATCTTAATTTTGAACCTTTTTAGCAAATGTTCAAAAGTAACTTTTAGGGGTACACCTTGTCACTGGGCCAATACCCTCAAAGGTACACCCCTAAAGGCTTTATAGGATAAGAATATGCACCCTTTAGGGGTAGACAAGGCACAAAGGTCTGCTACCCCGGCGCATGTAATAACAATGAACTTACAGTAATTGCCTTTCTATATTAGTTTTACTCAGTAAATGTGTACAGTAAGGTAAGCACTAATATGAAGTGTGTCTCTTACCGTCGGGTGAGTGATGAGTGGAGATGTCAGCTGCCAGTCCCACTATCAGCAGCACAAACGCGCGCAGTCCGCCCATGAGGCACCAGTTCTCCATGCGCCGGTAGATCCTCATGATGCCCGGCTCCTTATGATGAGATCTTCATAATATACCGACACAGGAACACACACAAACACACACACACACAGAGAGAGAGACACAGCGCAAGCAGAGAGGATGTGAGGGACTTCCTGCAATTCGATTAAATCCACAGGGGAGATAGGGGAGGGTGGTCTACGGACCCGCGATAGAGCTGTCAGGAGAACTTTACAAAGCCAGTACTGCTTAAATCGTATGGTCTACTGTGTTCACACTGTCCCGTGTCACACGTGCAGAGTGTAAACAAAAGCAAAGAGCACACGGACAGCTAAGAACAGATGCGGTTTGGTCTCGTGCTTTGGTGAAGTGTTGATTCTTTGGAAGAGTGCTGCTTGAATCTCCACGTGTTTTATAGCGGGGCTCTGCAGGGTCCTAAAGCTATTCATTCAGGGTCCTAAAACCGTTCATAAATACTGTTTATAAACAGTATTCATAAACAAAATGTATATATGTAATATTTTTGAATAATATTTCATCTTTAACCTTGCATTCCTAATTATTTCATGACAGTATTAGTTCAAGCATTATTTTAGGTCAATGATTTATGTGTAAAAAATAGTTTAATAATATCAATAATCATATCTATTATAATTATTATTGTCCCAATTCATATAAAGTGTCTAACTACTATGTACTTATGCATAAATAAATAAATGTAGGCGTAACTACATAAATTAATTACTGATGTATTGACAGGAAGGTATTTTACATGTAAGTACAATGTAAAAACGTACACAATAAATGTATTGTATCAAATGATTAATTTAAATGTAAGTACATGCTAGTCTATTATTATTATTATTATATAAAATAAGATGTGGGCTGTCTATTGAGAAAGCAAAGTAAATAGGGTCCATTCAGTCTTTTGACTTGCATTCCGGATTAATTTCAGGATAGTATTATTTTATTGTGTGTTTGTAGTCAATGATTTATGTGTAGCCTTTAAAATAAATAAATATATTTATCAGATTTGTCAGATTTCACTGTCACAGTGTTATTCTCATTCACTCAATCTTGTGAATGGCTTCTGCTTGATATGACATGAATGAGTTCAGTGCAATTTGAATGGTACTGTGGTTACGATGCATTTTAAATTAAACATCATACTACATTTAAAATATTATATGATTAATGTCAAGTCAATTTTTGCCTACATAATACTGTTGCAGAAAGTCAGAAACTTTTTGTGGCTCTACATATTTTGTGAGTTTATTTGCAAGGAAATTATTCATTTTCTTAATGGGGTCATTTCCCTTTTCCTTTTCGGTATGCAAGGCACTCTATAATAACTCTCTCTAGGTTTCCAGCAGGTAGCATACTGACCTCAGAGACTCAAGGACTTGTTAACATTTTTGCATTTTTAAATCAGCATATTTGCTTGCTCTTCCTTTCATGAGACTTTCAAAGCACCACAACCAGCTCTGAATTCTGATTGCTGAAAAAAGATGAGTTTTCCACCCTTAAGTTACTTGTCTCTCCTTTATCATCATGTCATCCAATCTGTCATCTAACACCTGATCACTGACTTTCCAGACTAATCTCCCGTTACACTGTTCTCTCCTGAATTCTATTACCCCAAATTTCACGTTCCACACCAGAAACCCTGACACTTCCAGGGCAAAGGATTATGAGGAATATATGCCCCTCTCTTTTTGTCATACATCCCATGGCATTTTAACATTACCAAGCTGTGTCACTTACTGAAATTGGCTATTAAAGAAAGAGAGCATAATGTCCATATTTTAATGTGGAGAAAATTGCATAATGAATCTGAATAAAAGCAGGTTCAAAAATGGCAACACTTGCATTTTCTTTCTTTCTTTTTTTTTTTTTTTTCAAATAACTACTTGAGATTATGAGACCATAGTTGATGGTTGAGACCATAGTTGATAGTTGAGTAATTACAAAATTGCTATCATTTCAAGAGTAGAACAAGCTGCACGTAATAAATCGTTGTAATGGGTTGTTTAAACATTCTTTAGATAAGGTCAACCAATTTCCACTGGTGGAAAAAAAAATCATGTAAAATATAATTTAAAACTGCATTTTTATTAGCTCTACATGCTATCTTCTGTAGTGTTTATTTGACAGCACATTCTCAACAGAAAACAGACTCCAACCAGGTCAAGAGTCTTATAAGTTTTCTTATACTGTATTATCAAACATGTTCTCTTTAAAAAAAAAAAAAAAACTATCGCACAGCACATATGGTCGTATGGATTCACCCCAGGTCCAGTAAAAAGGTGTTTTATATTTGGAACAATGCATCAGAAAGCCAATCTCTGCTCTCAGGAGGAAGCTGCAAAGGTCTTCCTTGTCTTCAGCACTTTGCCTCAGGCAAGGTGAACACGGGGGATATGAATCTTGTGGACAGGCACTTCCCTCAGTCACCGTGTCTTTGAAGAATCTGATCCAACAGTTTCTGTGGAAAAAAGGAGAGGAAACTTTTAACTAAACTACAACCAGGCAAGCAGCCTGTTCGTAAAAGCACCTGCACGCTCAGGTCAAGTGGTGGAGAAATGGGGAAGTGGGGAAGTGACTGCGTGTAATCTACAGATTACCCAGAATTCTCCCTGCCTGTCCCCCTGGGTGGCCATCTCCCCCGGGAGCAATGATAACTTGCTATCTGTGCTCCAACCACATCATGCTATCATGGCTTTTCCCTCCTCGGAGGTATTCATTTTATTTTCTGCCTGGTTCTCTTGTCCTTGGCTATCTTTGATGCTGCACATTCCAGTGTAGATTAGAAAAAGTTGAAATGCTTTGTTCGAGAAACAAACTTTTGTCATGAACTACTGATTTTTGCCAACTCTTAAAGGAATAGTTTAGTTTAAAAAAAGTTAAAAATAGTTTAAAAAATAGTAAAAAAAAAAAAGATCATATAACTTTTTTTATATAAAGTCAGTCATTCGAATTCGTATGACAGTATGAGTTCAGTGGAACACAAAATAAGATGTTTAGAAGAATGTTCATGCTGCTCTTTTCCATAGAGTAAAAGTGAAACAGTTTAAACATCTGACTAATATCTGGTGAACTAACCAACTTAAAACTTGAAGCAAATTAAATATTTAGCCATTAGATCATTCACAAATAGTCACATCACTGGTTTAATAGTTCATGTCCGATTTACTGTGATAAAGAACATTATGTTTGAAACTGGCCAAATATCAAGCATTTTGAAACTACTGTACTCCTTGAAGTTTTAGTGGTAACAAGAGTAAACTCTAAAACAAAGATGCTGAGATTAATTAAGCAAGAAACTCAGTAAGCACAGAACGTTAAATGCGCCGTTACTGTATAATTGAACTACAGCAGGTCTTTGTGTAGTCAAGCTACAGTCTTTATCCAAGGCTGCATATCTGTAATAACAATGTACTGTAAACGTCTTTACTGTCACTTTAATGAGATGCTGAGTGAAAGTATTAAACACAATCAAATATTTGAAGAAGGATTAAATATACATCCAGTATATATTCATTACATACAGTAAATATATAAATATACATTAAATATACATTGCAATTGGATTAACATTTACACATGCTGGAAGAAGCAAAAAAAACTGCCAAACCAGACTGGTATGATTTCAGTCAGACTATGACATTTTAAAGAGATGAATTAATGCTTTTTCCGAATTGTAACGAAACTTCTAAGGTACATGTCAATTTGCTTATCATGATAATTATTGTCATTATCAATCACTGGAATTTTCAATGTCCTTAACTGTCATAACAAGTATGTCACAGGACACACATAAGAGACAGAAAGTCATGCACACTATGAGCTACAAAACAACGTCTATATAAACTTTTGGCATCTCTCTCTCTCTCACACACTCTCTCTCTCACTCACTGTATCTATCCCCTCACCTGCTTCTCTCTATCTTCAGCCTGACTTATCAAGAATTCATCACTGTCACAGAGGAGGTGCAAGCCTGAGAGACAGAAGGGCTTCATGGGAGACAATGAGCTAGACACTTCATGACAAACTATCAGCCTCACAGGACCTGACACCCATTAAAACAACACACCCCGACAAGAGATTTCTCCTTTACAAAAGCACTCGTTTTAGGCATCCAGGGATCAGGCTGTCAGCAAAGACATCCAAAATACCAGTGAAAGCTGTCCTGTTGTGGAATTCAACACTCTAAACATCAAAAACAGGGAAAGTTTTGTTGACACAAAACCTCCTTTGTGTCACAAGCGTCCCCTAAGTATCAGGACCGTATCTGTCACCGAAAAGAACAAAAGGAATGCATGAATAAATCAGCCTTAAGTGGAATTAATCTGGATATCAAAAAGTAGTTTGATAGGCAGGATTCATTTGAAGAACTATACTGACCTCTGCTGGAAGACAAGGTAAGTACAATTGATGTGATCGCTTTAAAAAAGAAACTTCTGTCTCTATTTCTTCACTCTCAAGTTGTACCAAAGCTGTACAACTTTCTTTTACCCAGTGTAACACAAAACTAGACATTCTGCAGAATGTACTAGTAAATCTGTTAAAATGAATGGGGACAGGAGCTTTCAAGCTTCAGAAAGGATGCAAGAGTACCATAAAATGATCATAAAAGTGGCCCATATGACTTGTACAATATACGTCTTCTGAATTCATACAAGGGCTTTGGGTGATAAATGTATGTCATTCACTGGTTATCTCTTCTTCTTCCGAGCTGTTACATCAAGAATTGCTGTGACTGGATCATTGAGTCTGTGAACCAAATTCAAAAACCAGCTAGTCCAAAAACCTCAAAGTCCAGTTAGTTAATCATTAAGACTAGTTTTGTGAAACGGATCAAAACTGACATGTTTAGTTCTGTCAAGCAGAGCTAGGGCAAAGATTATCAATGAATAACAGCTTAAATGTATCACATGACATCAGACAACTTCAAATATATTTATACTTGTTTTATAGTGTTTTTCCTTTAAAAAAAGCAAAAAGCTTCATTCCCAATTAATTGTAATTTCATGGGAAAAAATGACCAGCACAGTCTTCAAATTGCCTCCTTGTGTGTTCCACCGAAGAAAGTCTACATGGAACTACATGAGGGTGAATAAATAATGACAGTTTTAAATTTTCGGTAAACTATCCCTTCAAGTGGGTTTTCACAAGGGTCCGACAAGATAAATGTAATGCTCATGTTGTATATTATCATTTCCAATCTGCTGTGAAGCACAGTTGGATCTCTGCATGAATGCCCCTCATGAGCCTCTATATAACGTTTGACACCTCAGTACAGAGGTAAAAGTTCAGCAAGGTGAGATCAGACAGTCTGGCAGCACATAGCACTTGCTGTTTCTAACCGG